TCCATCTATCATGCGCGAATATCATGCAATGTCGGAACATACCGCCCGCCTCGGCTGAACCAGCCGAAAAACGAATGTCTGATGCCGCCCGCCGTGGCAAGCCGAGCTTACACTAACTTACAACTAATGATGACAGAAAGAAAACAGCGTCGATACACTTTACAATTCAGCTTAAAACGAATAATAAAATAATATTTATAGAGAGATACGGAGATTCACATATATAAAGACTAGGATAATGATAACTCATTCGAAAATATGATCGAGCGAAACTTAGCTCGATTACGAAGCGTTACGCACGACAAAGATTCACGCGGAAGCGTCGTTCAAATCGACCGGCAAGAAACACAGTTTGACGATTGATCGTTTGTATGTAGATTTCGCGGTTTTGACAGTGACGACGCGAGTTAATCCGTCGTCTCCAACGTGACATTCGATGATACGACCAAGCTCCCACTTGCACGGTGGTGCGAGGGGATCGCGCAAAAGAACCAAGCGTCCGACTCGAGCAAGCCTTTGAGCGACGCGCCATTTTGAGCGTTGCTGCAATCCGTGCAAATAGTCGTTCGACCAAGCCTTCCATAAGCGTTCGTTTTTTTGCTTTACGAGTTGCCATCGAGTCAGACGGGTTTCCCTTGTTTCAAGTAGCGTGGGCGCCGGTGTCGCAGTAATTGAGTTGCCAATTAAGAAGTGGCCCGGCGTGAGACATGAATAATCGTCGAGATTTTCCGACATCGGCGCGATCGGACGCGAGTTAAGACACGCCTCGATTTGACAGAGCAGCGTCGTGAGCTCTTCAAACGTTAGCGTGTGTGAACCGATAACTCGCTTCATATGATACTTTACGCTTCGCACCCCCGCTTCCCATAGGCCTCCAAAGTGAGGAGCGGAAGGGGGTATAAAGTGCCAACGAACTCCGTCGCACGACAACTTGCTGCGTAAATGTGAATCGTTTTGTGCGGCTTGCAGCGCAGCCTTTAATTCGCGGTCGACTCCTAGAAAGTTCTTTGCATTATCGGAGTACAAGTCGGCAGGGATCCCGCGCCGAGAAGAAAAGCGCTCGTAGGCGGCTAAAAATGCGTCGGTGGTATAGTCACTTACTAATTCGAGATGGATGACGCGAGTCGTCATGCAGATAAAGACGGCAATATACGCTTTCCGCGATTTATGCCCGCGGCCGGAATTCATTCGAACAGGAATGGGTCCGGCATAATCAAGACCGCAATGTATGAAGGCGCGATCGACTGGTCGTATGCGCATCGCGGAGAGATCGCCCATCATTTCATTCGGAACGGTAGCTCTTTCACGCGTGCATGGAATGCAGCGATATAAGACGGAGCGCACCGTTTGGCGAGCGCGAAGAATCCAATAGTCTTCGCGTAAAGCATGTAATGTTAATTGACTGCCGGCGTGAAGGGCGCGGGTATGAGCGTGTTGAATTAGCAACGTCACAAGAGGATGCGCGGCTAGTACAATAGGATACTTGACGTTATACGAGAGTTCCGATTTTCGCAATCTGCCGCCGACGCGAATTAAATTATTGTCATCCAAGAATGGATTGAGTGAGATCAATTTGCTGGCCTTCGCTACGGTATTCGAATTTCGTAAGCGAGCGATCTCGTCGTGAAATAGATTCGTTTGAATAATGCGCAGCCAGAATATTCGCGCGATTCGATATTCGTCTACCGACACTACGTCAGGTAGGCTGAACCTAGGTTCATTATCCGGCTGTCGCCGTTTTGTGACGCGATCTCGCAACTTATTAATGAAGCGCATTAAATAAGCGGTTACGCGGATAAGCTTTGGCCATGAGGAATAGCGAAAAGCTAAGTCCCATTCCGAGTCGCTCTGAAGCGTATGAACGACGACGTTCGACCGTTCTTCGAGCGATGTCTCGAAGTCGTGTTGCTGAGTTACAGCTGGCCATTGGCTTGACGGGAGCTTGAGCCATTCGGGGCCTTGCCACCAAATGGAGCTTTCTTTTAACGAAGATGCAGAGATTCCGCGGGATGCTAGATCCGCGGGATTGTGATGAGTAGAAACGTGATGCCAGATGGCATCCGGGAGTTGCGTTTGCGCCGCGTTGACGCGATGCGCGACAAATGTTTTCCATCGAGATGGAGATTGGCGTAGCCATGCAAGAGCGACGGTTGAGTCTGTCCAACAATGACAAGGAATGTCGGAGAGCTCAAATGTCATTCTAACGAAAGACATCGTTCGAGTTAATAATACTGCAGCGGATAACTCAAGTCGTGGAATTGTTAACGGCTTGAGAGGAGCGGCCTTTGACTTCGCGATGAGGAGTGAAACGGTTACGGAGCCTGAAAAGGAGATTACTTTCAGATATACGGCGGCAGCGTATGCGACTGACGACGCGTCCGTGAAGCTCATAGTGACTAGCATCTGAGCCTAATTCAGTCCATCGCGGCAAAGAAATGTTCTGCAGTTGAGGGAGCTGCGCATAATAATGTTGCCATTTTTGCATAAGCTGCGATGGAATTGTATCATCCCACTGACATTTCGTTGCCCATAATTGTTGCATTAGGATTTTGGCGACCACTATGACGGGAGTAAGCCACCCGAGCGGGTCAAATAATTTTGCGATCGTTGACAAAATTGTGCGTTTTGTTTCGGGAGCAGGTAACGCCAGCTTGACGCAGAAAGAAAACGAATCGGTAGCGGGCAACCACTTGATTCCGAGAACCTTAAAACTTTCCTCGTCTTGGAGAGTCTTGCCTTGATTTTGACTCTGTTGAGTCAACGGCAAGTCGTTGAGCAACGAAGAGCAATTGCTCGCCCACTTGCGGAGGTGGAATCCACCCTTTTCTAACAATAAAATTAGTTGATTGCGGACTTGTATCGCCAGAGGCTTATCATCCGCGCCGAAAATGCAATCATCAACATAAATTTGATGGCGCAAAACGGACTGAGCGAGAAGAAATTGAGCGCCTTCGTCATACATCAATTGTTGAATTGTGCGAAGAGCGAGATACGGCGCACAAGCAGTACCGTAGGTAACGGTGCGCAAGCGATAGTCTTGTACCGGATCGGATAAGGAAGATCGCCAGAGAATGCGCTGATAATCTTGATCGCGCGGATCAACTTGAATCTGCCGATACATTTTGGCTATGTCGGCAGTATAGACATAACGATGCTGTCGCCATCGAAGAATTACTGAGCGAAGGTCGGTTTGTAATTTGGGGCCGATCATGAGATGATCGTTAAGCGAAGATCCATTTGACGTCGACTGAGAAGCATTGAACACGACGCGCAGCCGCGTGGTGCTGCTATGCTCTCGAATAACCGCATGATGCGGAATGTAGACTGCCTGTTCGGTAGCTACGGATTTGTCGACTTTCGTCATATGACCGAGATTCTCGTATTCCAGTAGGAACTCTCGGTATTCAGAAGCAATATTTGTCTTATTCTAAAGACGGCCTTCAGAATGTGAAAGAAGCGAGAAGGCAATGTGCCGTGATTCGCCGATTTGAAGAGGCGGATTGCTTTTGAACGGTAGCCGTACGACGTAATGTCCATTAGCATCGCGAGAATGTGTTATTCGGAAATGTTCCTCACAACGTTGTTCCTCAGGGGTGAGGTATGAGAGTTCTTCGACTTCCCAGAATCGTCGAATTTCGTCATCGAGATTGGAAGTCAGGTTCGTGTGATGGACGGACACGTGATACGCGTGAGACGATGAATTCGTGGAAATCGGACCGGAAATTATCCAGCCGAAAATAGAGTTCTGTGCCGCTGGCTTGTCGGCGGAACCTGTGCGGAGGCCCGGTAACAGAACGGAACTATAGAGATCGGCGCCGATGATCATTTCGATCGCATCGGCGCTTGAAGGCTGCGGATCAGCCCATGGAAGGTCCCGTAGATGCGCGAATGATCTCTGATATGAGACTTTTGGCGGAGTGTACTTGGTCAGAGAGCGTAAAATAATTGCGGTAGATGAGCATGACGGACCCGTGCCGGCACGAGAGGATACCGAAATCGTGGCAGCATGTTGTGCGACGGATCTCGTCTCACCGATTCCGGTGACTGAGACGGCGACGCGCTTTCGCGGTAACCGTAGCCGTTGAGCGAGGTTTTCACTAATTAAGCTAGTGACAGAACCTTGATCCAATAATGCGCGTATTACGTCTGTACGACCAGACGAGGAGTGCACCTGAATCCTTGCGGTAGCCAATAGAACACGCGTCTTGTCAAAAGTTGTCTGCGTGATTAAATGCGATGCGACTTGGTTGTCGTTAGATTTTCCTGCTTCGTTGGATTCAGGTGAATCCTCGGCGGTTTTCGCCGGTGTTGCTTCGTGAAGCATCGTATGATGCCTTTGATGGCATTGACGACAGTTGTGTTTACTTAGACACGTTGCTTTCGAATGTCGAGAGCTTAGACAATTCGAACACCGGCGAAACTTGATAACAAGGTCGCGACGCTGGGTAGCGGTTTTCTGTTTGAAATCCGGGCAGGCTGACAAGAAATGATTTTGTTTACAAATCGGACAATGGGTTTCGGTCGCGTTGGTCGTGTGACTTTGAACGGACGACGTGCTCGTTGCCTTTATTTTGGTCGGATTTGCTGTCGGAATATTCTCGAAAGCTCGAATGCGCGATGTAAGGAAATTATAAAGATCTATGTACGTCGGGTATTCCTTTTGCTCACCCAAATGTAACTCCCATGCTTTTCGCGTAGCTTTATTGAGTTTTTGCACGACCAAATAGACGAGCAAGTCGTCCCACGCCTTAACGGGACGACCGAGATTTTGCAACGTCTGAATTATCATGAATTATCATCGTGGCTTTGTCTCGGAGCAGCGCGAGTTCCTGCGCGGAATCGCTATTAACAACCGGTAGCGTATGAAGAGCGTGAATATGCTCCGATATTAACCGGCGCTTATCGTTGTAACGCGCGAGCAATATATCCCACGCTACTTTAAAATTCGCTTCGGTTAGGGGAAGATTACGCAACGCGTTACGAGCTTCGCCTTTTAGACATGTATAAAGATATTGCATGCGCGCAACATTTGATAATTCGGTGTGGTCGATGACCATTGAGCGGAATTGATCGCGGAATGTTTCCCACTCTCGAAACTCGCCGGAGAATTTCGGCAAGTTAAGACGCGGTAGCGGAGCGGTCGCTTTTTCGGTTTGCTGGTTATGACTCACGGATAACCCTGGACTCGACGGTGCGTGGCCTGGCTCGAGAACAGCAAGGGCGTCTGCGATGAAATCCGAAGCTGCGTTGTAAACATCCTCCAGCTCGCCGAAAACGTCCTCCTTGAAGTACCTCTCGGCTTCCTGTTGCTCGTTGGTGGCGACCTTCAGAAGCTGCGCGTGCAATAGCTCGCAACGAGCGTATTTGTAGTAACAGAAAGATCGTTTCTTATCACAGTTCACTACACCTCACTTCGCGCACTCGGTGCGGGTAACCGAATGGTTCGCTACTGTGGCAGCATACTCAAGACGGAAAATTTCGGTTCCTCTAACCGAAAGCATTTGTTAATGTAAACAGTGTTTCAGTTAATGAGAACAGGCTATGTATTGCTCCAACTGAAACTCAACTAACTGAATATCTTTGCCTGCTATAGCCGAATCTTTTTTTCCGTGTAGTTTTACTTTTACGATTTATTAATAACACACTATAATTCTTAGTTTATGCCATTATTATAAATTACTATAATTCCATAAAATATATTCGTTCCAGTTTTGTTCACAAAGTAATTTATAGATCCATACATTTTTTCGATTCGTTTCCTAATTGTCATTTTATTATAGTTTTATTAAAACAGATTATACATAATGGCTAATCTAATTACATGTTTCTTATGTAAAAAACAATTTGAAGCTATAAAAGCACTTATACTTCATTTTAAAGTTTCTTATTGCCTCACAGTAGGGGTTACTTTATGTGACCGTAGCGCAGCTCATGCACGGAAGTCGCCGTGATGAGCGGTAAATAAGATCGTGTCGCGGTAGCGCACACGAGGCACGAACGTGGGTGCGTTCGACGGACGTAGCGAATTACGCAACTTATGAGCGAGATGGAACCTTCACAGTCACTTGATATGTCTATGCGATTCACGTACGGATATCGTCTTTAGCGAAAATTCGAGTGTCAGCCTGACACGTTACGGACAATCTTGTCGCGATTACCGGATACGGAAATCTTGAAGTTGGCAATGTTGCTCGCGAGGTTTGCAAGTAATGAAGAGAGAAGCGAGAGTCTGCTTACTTTTGTTTGAAATCGCTCTGTCCCTTGTAGTTTTTCGCCCCGCGAATCCGGCTCGAAGGACCAAATTTTATGTGTGGGATTCGCTGAATCGATCGCGATTGCGATCTCACGAGGCGGGATGATGATCGGTTGGTTGGTGATAAAGAAACAGCGCACTACCATTAGCTAGTTGGATGCAGAACTTTATTCTCACTCTCACGCTTCTCACAAAAAAGCGGCAACGTTACTTTATGTGACCGTAGGGCAGCTCATGCACGGAAGTCGCCGTGATGAGCGGTAAATAAGACCGTGTCGCGGTAGCGCACACGAGGCACGAACGTGGGTGCGTTCGACGGACGTAGCGACGGATTCGCGAATAAGTCGAGATGAATACCACCTGGCCGATCCTTGACACTGGATTCGCGGTGTTATCTCTATTCGCGGTCGCGGTAGCTCGTTAACTTTACTGATGTTTCGTGACGGAGAGAGAACGGCTCGTCACGATGAGCGCTAGCGAGATTCTGAAGATGGTCGCGCTACCTGAAACGGCAGCCTCAGAGAACGCGAGAGACGCGACGAATCGGCAGGCGACTCCGACATCGGTTTGAATATTACCCAATCACGCGAAAACACGCCGAAATTGTGGCAATAATGTTCGCGAGACGGCGCGGCGTCCGTGACGAAAGACTCCCGCAAGGAATCGATGGATGGCGCCATCGATCCATAATTTCCATCTATCATGCGCGAATATCATGCAATGTCGGAACAAAGTTAATTATATATAAACATTAATATTAAAAAAACCAAATGACATTAAAATTAATTAATTAATTAAAAGACGTTAAAATACATTAAAGAAATTCAATGTAAAGTTGACGCGTTTTTGTGCAATATTTTTTACGTGTTATATTTTCAAAATATGCAATTATAGTTATTAGTAGTTTTCTCGCATTAAATTTTTTTTTAGTAGTTTTCTAACATAACTAACATAACATTTAACGTAATGACAATGACTTTCGAATCGTCGCGCTCATGATGTCAATTAAATTAGACATTTATTAATATTTCAAATTATTTATTGTAAAATATTATTTTTAAAATTTTATTAAATCTTTATTTTGATACAAAAAAACTAACACTGTAACATTTTCAGATTTTAAACAAGGCTTCTTTTCGCTGTGATGATATTTCCCGTTGTAGAGAAAGCTATTTCCGAACTTGCTGACAACGCTAGTATAGCAAGATATCTTCGTGCTAGCTTAGCTATGGCCGGAAACTTGTAGCTACTTTGCTTCCATCATAACAAAGCACTCATATTGTGATCGATTTGTAATTCACTGTGATATAGCTGGAATTGGGAATAAGCAACGGTTTGTCCATCTAAGTACTTCGTCTGTAGTAAAAAATCTAATGCACTCTTCTTGTCGATCTTTTGTCGGACTTGCTGTTGTTTTCCAATAGGTACTCCTTCTTCTACTGATGTAACTACATCTATTTTCATTTTTACATATTCATAAATTTTAGATTTTACATATTATGTTTCGCCAACGAGATTTTTATAACGCGAATCTAGGAAATTAGCTATTTGATGAGCATTGATTCAATTGTCCAAAGTTACGTGAAAAGTTACTCTTGCAAATCTTGCAGTACAATTGCCTTAAATAGCTGTGTAGCTAAGCTATCAGCCATATTTATATTAAGGTGAAAATTAAGCAATCCACGTATAATTGGTCTTACCATCGATATTGTAACTTCTTTGTCAGAGAATAATACTTCTGTTGCTATATGTAAAAGTTGCAATACTTTAATCATAGCATCCATTGTAGCCCATTGTTGTTCTGTTATTTCAAGATACTGAGCTTTTTTTATTGCAATTACAGATTTATCCGCAAGGACAGCAGCAATTGCACTGCGATTTTGTAATAAACGCTTACACATAAATAGAGTTGAATTCCATCGAGTCAAATCTTTGAATCAATTTCATCTGTTTTAAATCTAATTGTTCTTGTTTTTTATGTAAAGCAATTGTAGCGATAGAAGAATGGCGAAAATGTGCTACAAATTTGCTAGCACATTTAGCAACTACATCATATTCTTCATCTTCCCTCAGTCCTGTATTTGTACTTAATTGAATGGTATGTGCAGCAC